AAACAATAAACAAACAAACAAAAAGAAAAAAAATCAAGAGCATGCTCCTTATAATTTATACGTTTTGTACAGTTTGTTTTTCAAGGTTATGGTTGGGACGTTCAGTTCGAGTTAATACAGTACCGACCGGACACAACCTAACACCAGAGCGAACCCAAAGCGCACCCCGGGTTCGCTTCCTGGGTTCGCTCGGGGTCCGCTGCGGGTCCGCTTTCAGAAAATTTGGGACCGCTCTGGGTGCGCTTCGGGTTCGCTCTGCGTTCGCTCGGGGTCAGCTCTGGGTCCGCTAGAGCGAACCCGGCGTTCGCTTTCCGGGTTCGCTTTACGCACTCATGCGTGAAGCGGACCCCGCTTTAATCTTGCCGCCAGTAAGCCCCGCCCCTTGTGTATTCCAAATACAGTAATGAAATCGATCATTACTGTTTTTATGGCGATCGAAACATGTACATGTAAGTGACAATATGGAGAACGTTGATAAATTTTCAAGAATTTCACCGTACATTCGACGTAGAATTATCACTTTTATTTTTGTTAACTTACAAGCTAAGTATATCTCGAAAGAAAAAGAAGAAAAGGTGTTAAATTTATTTTCGATATATCGGATGGAGTGAAATTGATAAGAGTATCTTAATAAAAAAGAAGCGTTCAAATTCATTGGTTTACATTATTCATGCGTTTTAAAATAAGTTGGAACTTCCAATTGTAATTTCAATTGCTAAATCGTAATTTAAATGTTTGAAAGACAAACACTGAATTATGATCTTATCTATGAAATAGCTGAGACATACTGTACACCTTAAATGCTAAGTTTTCATATTTAGCAGTTTACATTTAAGCTAGGTTGTCGTAAATTACATGTATATGTAGGTCGTGATAATCGCTAAAAATTCTCATACAGTGTAACTTGAGTTTCGTTTTACAGATCATTTATAATTTATAATTCCATGCTATAAATCATTGTTTTATAAGGCGAGATTAACGGAAGACTTATAAAAAAAAAAACCAACAACAACAATCAAAAAACCAAAACAAACAAACAAACAAAAACTAATAACTGGTCCACTGATAAGAATATATTATCTTTTTTTAAGTTGTTTTCAAATAAATGTAAATGATCATTTGAATAGTTTGTGTTCCTTACTGGTTCATGATCCCCCCCCCCCCCCGGCCCACTACATACATGTACATACTGGAGCGGCATGTTAACAAACAAAATTCTAAATGTTTAAAAATAAATAAAAACAAGATAGAAAACTCACAAAACAAGAATTTAATAACTGTAAACTCACATGATTAAGTAGATGAAATTAAGATAATAACGCCCGATGGTTTTTTTTTATTATTATTATTGTTTTATTTCGATGAGCCCCCCACACCTCTCCGCACTCGAATTGTTTTCTATGGGCCGGTTGTAGCGATTTTAATTTCAAATAATATACAGTGTTCTCTCTCTCTCTGTCTCTCTCGTAAAGCCATTTTACTGATTTTCAGCATTCAGGTGGCAGCAAATTGCATGAACATGTACTCTTCATGCAAATTATCAAAGAACTATGACGTTTTCAAATTCAAAAAAAAAAAAAATAATAATAATTGAATTTCTTATTGATAACGTGCCCAGACGAGGTACATGTACATGTACATGTAACTTAAGGGGCATCGAATGTAAGGGGAGTATAAACTCAGGTGTACCCGGACCATGGAGACAGTATACATCCAGCTAGCAAGTGTCAATTAAAAAAACCCACCGCAATTGCTCTTAGCACCCGCAATATCTTCGAAACAGGTTGATGACCTTGGCTTCACCTTGAAACTATAATTATTACAGTGTTAAAATTAAATAATTATGACAATTACAAAGTTCAAATACAGGTACCTATGTAATGAAAAAATATATGTTCGTTTTCGTATTAAGGATCTTTGCAAGTTCAATTTACTAATGTTGGAATTACGTTTACTTTTCATGCACAAGTACAAAACGTACCCGTCTGATATTTTTTTTTTATATCCATATAAAGTATTTCGAAAATTACATGTAGTACATGTAAGAGGTTCGCGAACAAGTAGACCTGTATAATTATATATATCGACGCGAAGGAAAGTGATAAGCATTTTTGCGTTTTGTTTTGTTTTGTTTTTTTTTTTGACTAACTTGCAAGTAGTTACAAAAATTCAAAATCATACAATGTAAGGCCTACATGAAGGATAATTAGAATTGACAAAATAATCTTTCCCTATATACATGTACTTAAATCAAGATAGTTATTAAATTTTGGTAAAAGATAAATTAAAAAAAATATATCATAGTAGTTAAAAAATGAGATTTTTTTTCTCCAATTTACGTATTGAAATAATGCACATTTATACTGTACAATGTACATTTAATTTTTTTTTCATGATCTTATTTATATCGATAATTTCGATGTTGATCTGGATATATTGAAACGTGCATGTAAATTGAAATAATAAATAAAAAATAATTAAATTAAAGCACGTAAATGTTCTTAAACTGTATCTTGAGATAATAAAATTCTATAATTTATCGAAGACCAGTTTTTTTTTTCATTCTTTTTTCTTTAGTAACAATTGTTATAGCCATTAATATCTTCTTTTTTCTATTATGAATTAAAGTACTTATTGTCTGATAAATTTACGCAATGTCTATTTATATATTGATGGATTTTAAAAATATAAAGAAAATAAGTATGTAACTATACATGTAACATGCTACCTGGATAATAAAAATATATAATGTATTAATAGATTTTAAAAATAAAAAATAATGAAAATAGATCTGTAAATATTGCATGTTGTCTGGACAATTAAAATATATAAATGTAAAATCATGTTTAAAAATCATATAAATAATATTTTTACATTGTACATTCACACGCTTTGCTTATACAATGTTTAGATTACAAACTGGCATGTTGACTGGTCGATGCTCTGATGGTCAACGCATTTTATCACTTATCCTGATTGACAGACCTGTTCGGCTGTTGATTGGTCGACGCGCTGATGAGTTAATCGCTAATCCTGATTGACAGCTCTGTTACGCAACACCGAACGCGCGTTCGCTTTCTGGGACCGCTACTGAATTTGGGGTTCGCTTTCTGCGTTCGCTGTGGGTCCGCTCTGGGTTCGCTGCGGGTTCGCTACGGGTGCGCTCCGGGTTCGCTCGGGGTCAGCACTAGCGGACCCCAAGCGAACCCGAAGCGAACCCAGAGAGCGAACCCGGGGTGCGCTCTGGGTTCGCTTTCGGTTAGGTTGTGTCTGGTCGGTACTGTATCTACTTACTACGATAAAAATGAATTTTAAAAATGAAATATAAATTTCAAAAATATCTGTAAAAATTCTTATTCATTATACGAAAGAAAATTAAATTAGATAAATTATTTGGTCTATAAACAAGCAATATATGCATAGAAGAGTTAAGTTAAGAACAGAAACCCATAATGTACGCAGGTGTGTTAGGGAAGCACTTAGATAATCTGACTTGACTGAATCAGTGATACAATATGACGTCATAGTAAGCGAGATGACGTCAAGTTTAGAACACAAGTTTTCTTAATATTGTTATTTAGAGACATAATTTAACTCCTGAAAATGAATAGAAACGTGCAAATATTAACAAAAATCAAATGTGTTAATTTTATTATGCTGTATCTGTCAATTGAATTAAAATCTCCGACCGATGACGTCATAACTGTTCAACAAGTAACTTGAGAATCGATCATGTTGTGTAACGAGAATTTGGCTAAGACGGCATGTAAAAAGATATGTAAAAGGGGGTTTATAAGCAAATACCGTGAATTTTGTGTGTTATTCATGTGAAGTTAAAGTTTGTTAAAAAGGTATGTTGATTTATTTTCATTGATTATATCCTCTATTGAAGAAAGTCAGCTATTTACGTATCCCGATTGGCCTTTCCTCTGTCATTCGTGACAACAATAATGCAAAAGAACAACACTATGCTGGATATTTAAAAACATAAGATTTGTACATATCGAAAGCTTGTGTTCTAAAATACTTGGAAAGTGCTGCTAGAATCGTGAGGTAAACATGGTTTGAAGAAATATCTCGGGTTATATGTACATAAATCAAAACATCGGGTAAGGTTTCGCGCAAATATGTGGAATAATTATTTTCCCGACCGGACGGTGTGATTCTAGCAGCACTTTTTAGGCATAAGAGATGTTTTTCAACTATATTATTTACTCAAAGAAATTATTAAACCCCGGGGTATTGTTGTTCTGTGAACTTTTTTATTAAGGAATATTTTGCTATTAATAGCAGTCACGTGATGACGTCGAGGTGATGCACTACGTGGTCTCAGACCCTTCGTGTCGTTATGTAATAGTTAAAAATAGTTTACGTTTTTTCGGCGACTTTGACAAATGATCAATCTTAATTTTCTTTAAAAAGTCTAAATTTCTCGAGAAATGATTTGTATGCTTCCTTAACATACCCGCGTATGTTTCTATAGATATTTATATAATATCAGAATCTCCAAACACTTGAGCTATATATAGCTAGGTGATCTTAACTTGGTTTAGTTTCAGAAGTTCTTTGTTACGGGGTTCCAGAAATTAATTATATAATGAAGTAGGAAGTAAATACTGAGCATGTGGTCGTAAAATTGATTTGCTTCCATTATCTACAGAAAGCAGAAAAGAGTCTCAATTGCAAAAGTACTTCTGGCTCTGTTATCATTTATCATTTTGTCTACAGAAGAAAAAAAAAACAGGTTAATGATGTAATCAAAAGCATTTCTGTGAGATAATTATATTATCTTTTTGGCTCAGTGTAAGTAATTCCTGTTAAACTTAATACATCAAGTACTTTCAGGTATTGATGTTTTTGCATCCCCCTTATTATGAGAAATCCCAAACATCTCTTTATACACCGTATGACATTTTCTGATTGAGGAGATCCCGAAACCTCTCTTTATATACCGCATGAAATCTCTGATTGAGGCACAACATTGTTCTTTTCTGGTAAGTTCACTTCAAAATTGAAAAGATGATGTTTTCCTTTCTTTTTCTGCTTTTTATGCCAATACCACAAGTCAGAACGGGTTCCTTGTTAACCGGTACGTATGATCCGAACTCTACGGCTTTGATCAATGAAAGACGTGATATCAAGGAAATTGACGTTCTTCGGCAGATCATCAACCAAGAGACTCTTATTCGTGTAGCAGTGGTCAAGGATGTGCGGGCAGTAGTGGACGACGTTAGGTCTGTGAAACGAAGCATGGCGTCTTCAGAAACGATGGTGTCCACCCTACAGCAGACATTAGAATCATTGAAAAGTCAGGTTGATTCTTTAAATCGGGACAATACTTTAGCGCAGAAAGTAGAGGTATTACAAAGGCAGGTTTATACCCTACGGCAGACCAAAACTTTGAAGAAGAGAGTAGAAACATTAGAGAGACAGGTTAATACTCTAAGTCAGGATAACGCTTTACAACGAAAGGTAGAAACATTACAAAGAAAGGTTGATTCTCTGACTGAGGAGCAGACAAGAGAAATCAAGAATTGGCAGGAAAAGAATCAGGAAATTGAACAGAAATTTAATAGAAACATCGCCGAAGTTTACGAACTTCTAAATAACAGAACGTTGGAAACCATTAAAAAAGGTACATTCTCTCTCTTTCTTTCTCTTACTTTTATTATTATCATATTTGCGTCTTTTGTCATATAGATTTAAAACTATATGTGGACTGCAAACACCACTGTCTACAAGGACAAACTCAGTCAGGTGTTTATAGAATTAGTCCCTTCGGTAATGAGAGTCAGATAGACGTGTACTGTGATATGGTGACAGAAGGCGGAGGATGGACAGTAAGATCTCTGTCTATTTTTCTCTTCTTCTTTCTCTCTTTCTCTCTATCTAAACCTTTTTTAAATTACAATTTGAGTTTTCTATAAAATAACAAAATAAGAAACAAATAATGCTGTAAACTCAGCATTTGTTTCTTTTTTAGCCCAAAGGCAATTCAGAAACGGGTGAGCGGATCCGAGAGTTTTGACAGAACTTTGGCGGAGTACAAGAATGGGTTCGGGAACGCTAACGACTCTTACTGGATTGGTAAATACGTACATATGTAAATATATTAAGCAATATCCATTTATTTTTTTGTTGATATATAAACGGATATAATTTAATGAATTCAATTCAAACATACATTTTAGTATCAAGATCCCACAATATAGCAATGAAACACATGTATCTTTCACTAATGACACATCTCTATAAATAATTCATAATTAAAGTTAGACAGTCCTGAAATTAAAAAATTTTAACCTTCAGAATGCATATTATACTCCTAGAAATATAATTTTCCTTTCATATTTCACGCTACAAATGACATATTGTAGGAAATTGTAGGAGAAAAAGAGGGAAGGTGTGTAATTGGTTTGACAGAAAGAGAAATGGGAGAAAGAGAGGTAAGGGGAGAGAAGGAGAGGGAAGGAGAGGGTAATGATTATTAAAATTGAATCAGGCCATTTAAAAAAAATGTTTGGTTGCCTTCTTTCGACCGAGTGGCTATATTTGGCCGGACTCGAAACTTTTTTTTATCCTCCAGGAAGCAAGATTTTTATTTGTATTTAGGAAAATATAATTAAAAAAAAGATAGCATTAAAATAGAAATTTTCTTAGAAAAAAATTCTCACTTACCTACCGACCCAATATTTTCAGACCGAGTTGAGAGAGGTCAAACAAACATTTTTTCTTAAGTTGGCCCATGCTCAATTTTTAAAAGAACTTTGGGTATTATTTACTTAATGTTTATGAAACATATATTATGAAAACACCAATAAAAAATTTGTAACCTCTGTTTCAGTTTTACGATTTTTTTTCTTTATTTTCCTTAGTTTATTACTGTATAGATTTTGTTTAATTCGGTTACAATATAATAAAAAAATTAACAAAATAAAGGTAGGTACCTGATTTCATGCTCGATTGATTTTATTATCTATCTACTTATTTTTGAAATATATGAAACTTTTTTTTTGTTTTTAACAGATTCTTATAATCTAATACATATGGTTTTTTTTTTTTTTTTTTTTTTTTTTTTTTTTTTAAATACATATAATTGATTACATATGTCACATTGTGAAAATTAAAAGCTTTTCCGTACATTCATTAAGTCCTATTTGCGGTGTAATTACATTAAATAATTATCGAAGCATGGATAAAAGATGTGAAAATATATCGTACAAGAAAACAGAAAAAGGAGGGATATCAAACACCGGAAAGGATCAAGTTTCTTTATATTCGTCATTTTGAAGCATTCCTATTTGTTGAATGATTGACTAACGTACTAGTAGTAGATTTGTTTTCAGTCCGATAAAGTCAGTGTTAAGAAGTGAATATAACCGAAAGAATAATGAGACTTAATCACGCTTATTGATAATAATCAACGTATTACCTTTAATTCTAAAGGTGACAGTATGTTAAACACGGGGATTTCTGACTATAATCTGTCTGGTATGTACTTCACCACACCAGACAGAGATAACGACAAATTGAGTGGATATAACTGTGCCACCCACGGTGACCTTAGAGGAGGCTGGTGGTTTAACAACTGTCAGATCGCCTTCCTCAATGGTCCTTGGTCCCCGGCGAGCTGGAACAGTCCTTGGTGGCCTACCGTAGGGACTGGGTTAACTGTTAAGGAGACGATGATGTTGATCAAGCGTCACTAGGTAAACATCTGACATTCGTATTAACATTGTCTATTTTTCTGATAGATTTATATTAAAATTGTTTAATTTATAATCTGAAATTGCAGGTTTAAGCAATAGAAGGTTAAACTTTCTTGTTAATCTTTCTTATTATTTTGCTTTTTTTTCTCTACAGATGTAGATTATAAAGGAGAAAAGAAATGGTTGGATAATTCAATGGAGATTTCAATAGACAATAATTGTCTATGATAAAACATTGGATAATTCAATAGAATTCTACTGTTTATGATAAAGTAATTGATAAATCAATAAATTATTATTGTCTAGGTCAGTAAACAAAAGTTGACTTCTTCACACACAATGAAAATACATATGTATCCCTTTAAAATCTTTTTTTCTACTTGTACCTACATATTTGGAAGGCCTGGCTTCAAGCCACAGGTGCAACAAAGACAATAAAAATATCTTGGGCAATTTTAAGTAAAAGATTAAAAATATCTGTGTCGGATTACTTGAGCTTACTTGTGAATAAAATTTTTCGGGTTTTGCTGGCTAAAATAATGAAAATCTGACATTGTCTTAACATTTTCTGAATAATTCAATTTTCCTTACTTTCATCATTTTGGACTTAACTCTATGGAGAATTTTTTTGTGTGCTCATTTTCCAATTAATATAATATCAATTCCAGTAATAAAAACCTTTTCAATGTTCTTCTGGGTATAAAGTTTGTCAGAATATTTGTCTGTACAAGAGCTATATTGAGTTATGTGTTAATGTTTTAAAAAATAATGCTCTTCCTACCAAATGATTATGTTCTTTTCATGGTTTAAAATAAGCTTCTGTAAATCTTTCTCCATGAACAAAATAACAACTTGACAAAGAGCTAGGTTCACTTTATGCATGGCCCTGTAGATACGGTGTATGAAAAATTATTGACTAACACCTTATGTTCAATTTTAAACATTAAGATAAAGTAGAGACTAAGTGCTTTCAATTTTTGAGTTTTCGCCTTAATGTCCAGGGGTCCGTTTTACAAAAGAACTTACGACTAAGACCAAAATTTAATTCTGCTTGTAACTTTTAGATTTACAATATATTGAAAATGGTTTTAATCCTTTTAAAAGGAATGTAGTTAGATATTTTTTACGCAGGCAATTTTAAACAAAAACATTTATTTTGCAAAATTTTACAATCAACTTAAATTTTTGGACTTAGTCGTAAGTTCTTTTGAAAATCGGGCTCCAGGCCCCGGGGCCACGAACGTTTTATTTTACTCAACTCAAATCTGAGTAAAGTAAACTTTATTTTACTCTCCTGAGTTTCGACTCAAAAAAGTGTGCCACGAACGCTAAGGAAACTCAACTCAGCAGAGTAACAAAACTCTGCTAAAAAATTAAATTGTTTTTAATGACATAAGCGGTCTTAACAATATAAATAATCAAGAAAACCTTTATACGCCCTTTCTGTGTTCATCTTTCCGTTTCATTCACCTTTTTTTCTGCATCATAACATGAAATTATGACGTCATTTTGTTTTGATGACGTTACATCTTCCGTATGGAACGCCCTTCTATGCAAAATTAGATCCAGTAATCTACGATATTATTCTGCCGCAAGGCACTCTAGAAAACTACCGATTTAAAGAACTACAATATACATGTATGTAGATAATATGAACACGTAGATAACCTGCAACGACAGCTTCAAGAACCCAGGTTGTTCCAAAATAGAAAATGAAATTCGCGTATAGTGAATTCCTTTGGAAAAGGTGTCAAAAAAGCGTCACTTTTTGGAAAATTTGGTGTCTGAGAGAGAGAGAGAGAGAGAGAGAGAGAGAGAGAGAGAGAGAGCAGTGAATGAGTATGCTTTACTCTCTGACAAAACAATTTAAAAAAAAAATGAAGAAAAAAAAACTGAACTATTATAATTTATGATGAGGCACATCTATTAAAAACGTATACTTGATTACAGTGTACATGTATCTAGAAGAACATTCAGGACTGGTGTTAAAGAGTAGTTAAAACTCTTTGTCATTAATTGCAGTTTTGTAAATTCAAAAAAATAATAAATAGGAGTGTGGATATATAAAGATTATGTAGCTTTAAAAAATATAAAAGGTTGAGCTAAAAACTATACTTACTGTAGCAGGTGCATGCACTTTCTTTGACCGGTTAGATTGACAAGGCGGTCTTAGTTGTATGTAAAAATAACAATACTGTATGCATATATATGTAGTTACTTGTATTACGAAAAAAAACATGTACTTTAATCGACGAAATTTGCAACCAATTTAATAAAAATATATAAAATTCGGAAGTTTTATTTTATTATAGAAATAATGTACGTGCATAATCAAGAATAAGAAAACTAATTTTCAATGCATTTTACTTATAGGCCTACATACAGGGTCGGACCCAGGAATTTTTTCCAGGGGGGGGGGGGGTTCCACCACAGTCAAAAAAAAAAAAAAATTCCAACCAAAAAATTCCTTGAAAATTAAAAAAAAACAAAAAACAAAACAAAAACCAAAAAAAAAAGAAAGAAAGAAAGAAAAAAGAAAAAAAAAACAAAACGTAAATTCCATTTCCCAAACGTGAAAAATACCTATTTCGTGTTGATGATGGTGGGGTCCACATTTTCTAGGGGAGGGGGTCAAAAGTCATTTTTTATTTGCTTCAGTATATATACTATTAATAACTCTGTATATTCCAGGGAGGGGGGTCCGGATCCCCCGACCCCCCTTCTAGATCCGTGCATGTACATATTAGACCTATAATATCCATGTATTTATTTCCCAAGAGGCGGCAAAATAATATAAAAAGCCGAAGAGCAGAGATAAATTACATATGCCGAATGGCATGACATATTTTTTTTTAGTTTTGAAAATGTAGAGTATATCTGAAAACAGCTAAGCGGAAAAAACTTGGGGAAAATCAACTAAATCCAATAAGAAATCAAACCTGTTCAATCGTTATGTATTATTTTACTTACAACCAGCGATCATGTGCAGCAGTTTGCCAGATTTCCTAAACAAAATATGGACCCCGGCCGTTACGTATATCGTGCAATTAATCCCTTTCCACCCTCCACCCCCCCCCCCCGAAAGAAAGATCCTTAATTAGCTATCAATATGATCATGCACAATCTTTCCTCCCTGAGTGCAGATTATAGGTCTAAGTTTGCAGCCATAGACCGGTGAGTGGTGTCTCAATATGAGTGAAAAATTCACGAGAGGGATGTTAAACAACAGACAAACAAATCAAACAGGCAAGTGGGGTGGCGGGTTTTCAAACATAATATTTCACTATTTAAATGTCAGTTGAAAGGCTGGTTGGCCAGCCCACCTTTTGTGAAGCATATGTAAATAGCTTGGTAATTTGGTAATGTAAAGGAAAAATTTGGTTATTAAAGAGAGTTGTATCCTACCCCCTCCCCCTTTTCACAAAATAGGAATTTCGAGTTCGGACATTCTTTCCGTTTTTTTTTTGGGGGGGGGGGGGGCTTTTTTGTTTGTTTGTTTGTTTGCTTGTTTCTCTTTTGTTTTATTTTTCTTTTTTCGTGAATTTTGTTTTTTGCGTGTCCAGGTTTTTCAGAGAATTAGTATTAAAAAAAAAAAAAAAAAAAAAAAATTCCGGTTGCCCCCTTTCAAAAACGATACTATATGCCCGTCATAGATGCATATATTGTATACCACGGGCACTTGACGTTACAATTTAAAAAAAAAATATAACCCCATACATTATAATTCACTTGTGTGTTTTTAATAAGAAAAATATGTCACGTCAAGTGCCTGTGCTTTATACATATAATTTATATATATTTTTAATTACAAACTACTAAATGGCACATCCATCTGCTTGAGACAGAAAACCTCTTAAAGATTCCGGAAGTCTGCTCTTTTATCTTACACTAAAGGGACAAATAGAATTAATGTAAAAATTCTCCTCGGCTTTGTTTGATGTAGCCATATATGTATAATATATATACATTTCTTCAATGAATAAACTGAACCTCCTTGTATTAGTCCTGTACGGGCACCTGATGAAAAATTATTAATACCTGCGTATTCGAGTACAACAAGAAAAAAAAAAATAGTATTAAGTAGGTTGACACTGAATCTTAATTTTTTCCATACTTATCAAAATGTTGGGTCTGCAACCGCCTTTTCACATTGTCAGAGAAAAAAAAAACATTTGTAAGTTAACTTTTCATGCTATTCATTAGAAATCAATTATAAAATGTAAATAATGTCCCCCCCCCATTGTAGTGCCGGATTAGCTGACAAGAAAAAAAAGAAGGGGGGGGGGAATCAACTCAATTTATTTAGGAAAAAAGTTACTGCAAACGCATAAATAATTTAGGAATAAAATGCTTTTTTCGTTATATTTAGACAAATAAATTGAAAGGATATGACCAATAAAAAATAATATTCTCTATGTCGGAATTGCAGTGGCAAAAGTGTAAGTCTGAATTCCTAATATAAATGAGAGAAAAAATTGTTTACTTCAAATATGATATTAATGCAGTAATTTTTCAGTATTTGTAGAAGTACGTAGCATAAATGACATACAACGTGGGAAAACTATCAAATGAATATCGCTCTGCCGGCACGCCTTACTTTTAATTTACAATGACGAGTGATTTCCCTTGGAAAATTAGGTTGGATCTTGAGTTCTAAATGCTATAATTTGGATAGCCTATTATAGATCGATAGATCGATGCAACTTACTTGCTAACTAATTATAATAAAATTTTGTTCAGATTTTGTGGAAAATGATTTGCAGACGGGGGTTTGATAAATTGTTGCATCAGAGCACAAAAAGTGAGGGCACCGCTCGAACTTTCCGACAAACAGCCGATTTGGAAACAAAAAAAATGGCTGGTATATCACTGCTGCTGGAAGAAACCTAATGCACAGAAGCCTAAGGCTATGAGAAGTTACAAAAGAGGAGGCAAAGGACAAAATGTCAGTATTTTTTTATGGCATATGTTTTCAAAGATCAACCCGCATATGAAAAATATTAGGGCGGATCTAAAGCGATGTCACTGAAAAATCTCTCAACTTCTGACGAAACTTCCAAAGGTTTGAAAAATTCGTAAAGGAAAGTTCATCATTTTCCAAAGGAGCACTCTCCTGGCAGCCATTTTTGTGTTGAGTCGACTTCTGAGACAGCTACCTAGCAATCTCAGATATTTTGAGAAAAACTCAAGAAAAAACTCTATTTGAGTAAGACTCAAGTTTCGTGGCACACTTAATTGAGTTCAACTCAGCGGTTTGAGAAAAATTCTCAGATTTGAGTAAAATACAGCCCTTGAGTTCGACTCAAGACGTTCGTGGCCCCGGGGCCAGGTCTTGGAAAACAAGTTTTATGGAATTGCAATATTCTTGAATTTTAAGGAAAACAGGTATATTTAAGTACTTTCAGAGAAGAAAAATAAATGAGCGCACCCTCTGATTTAAAAAATAAAACATGTTTTGTAATCCCCAGAAACGGTTCCATCAGTAAATAATGGCATATTTTAGATCAGAGATTGCGCTATAGATTAAATATCGAAAAATAGCTTTAGAAATTGGCTGTTTTTGTAGAATTGTTCAGGATATGATGAAAATGACGCATTTCATGACGTCATAATGCATTGACTAGCCAGAAAATTACGTCATTTTTGGTAGATTTGCAATCTTCAAATGCCAAAAAAGGCCCTAAGTGATCCTTGTTCTTTATAAAGGAATAATAGACATTTATGCCATAAAGACATATCTGTCTTATCAGAGTATCGATAAACCTTAAACTACTTTGCTTCCATTATACCGCCGTGCGGTATTAGCTACTGTACAGAAACAAAAGATTTTGTTTGTTTGTTTATTGTTTAACGTCCCTCTCGAGATTTTTCATCATATGGAGACGCCACCACTTGCCGGTGGAGAGCTACAAATTTTGACCTATACTCGGCACTCAGGGCCATTGAGCAGGAGGGATCTTTTTTCGTGCTAGCAACTACTGCGACACGGGACCTCGGTTTATACGGTCTCATCCGAAGGACCAGTCTTCACGTTCCACAGTGGGATTCGAACCCGCGATGTAAGGATCAACTCATATCTCTGCGACTGTAGAACGAACGCTCTAACCACTGCGCCACGCGGGCGACTTGAAACAAAAGAAAAAAAAATGACATAAGTACATGTGTCTTTGTTTCTATTTCTCATTTTTATGTTTAAAAATAAATTAAACAACTAAATGATAATTCGACAAAAATTGATGTTTTGTGATAAATGTATGTTATGTTTCAACAGTGTAAAATACTTTTCAGTGATTTTTTTTAACAATAAGATTTTTAAAATTTTAGATGGGGAAAAAAATAAAAAGAGGTGGAACTTGAGAGAGTTTAAGACATGTCGGTAAACATCGTAAATTTACGCAGTCTAGACACTTTTATTTTATTAGCATTTTTATTTCAAATTAATCTGTTGCATATTTAATATTGGGTAGTTGAATTTATATTGCTGACTATTGACAGGAGTGCCAATATTCACTAATATAAGCGCAACATATCCATTATTATAAAGCTTAAATATCTATTGATTTATATTAATTATTTCAATCAAATAATTCAAATTGATAAGATTTTTTTTCAATATTGTAATTTAAATTAACGTCTGTTCTGTAAATTTTTCAGTATCGTATCATTTCAATGACCCTACTAAGTGTTATTGTTTGCTTACTGAGGTTTTATTGAGGCTAATAACTACTAAATTATTAATTAATAACATTGATTTGGTGTCTATCATATATTTGTCTTTGAAGGGTTGAACAGACGGCATTTTTTTTTGTTTACAACGGGACGTTCGATTTTGAACGCTCGTATTCCGAATGTTTCGGACATACTAATGTACGTGGTATAAACTTGGCGTTTAATAAAACGCCAATATATTGAACGCTAAAATCCCCAAGACGTCTATTGATTTTTTTTATTATAGAATGTTTATTAGCTGTATAGTAATACATTTTTTTTTATCGATTTCCCTTGAAATATACATAGTTAAAAATTCGATCTCATTTTCATCATGAAAAGATGAAACTTTAATAAATGTTTGAAGTTGTATCTCTCTGATACAAGTAAAATAATTAAAGTAATCTCAAGCCCTTTACTAAGAATGGTTCGTCTCTATCAAAAATAATAAAAAAACAATAAGGTCCGCCAAGAAGAGTTATCTCCCCAAGGTGGCGCTCGTGTACTATGAGGTATAGATACGTCGCCATAGTTGTCTACTTTATAATAGTTAGAAACCGCGTTAAGGATATATCGTCGATATGCCAGTGTATTGTAGTGTTCCTACGTGTAAAAATAAGAAAGGTGGACATCTGTTCCCTTCGAACCCCGATCTAAAATTGAAATGGCGAGTCGCGATTCGAAGATTGGATGTAAAATCAAGAAAGTTATGGGAGCCGGCTGCTCACGACCGGGTGTGAGATCACTTCACACCCGATGATTACATTCAATCAACAATACTTGGTTAGTTCGTTATGGTAAACTAGTTGTTGATCTAATTAACTACGTTTTAAATAATTGGCTCTAAGCTCAAAATCATCGTAAAGTGAAATAAAACTACTGTATACATGCGATGCTCAGTTAACACGGCTAACGTTAGCCTACTGTTTTCATACGCTCTGGCGATTCATCATACTCGATTTATCAATTATTTAAAAAGCGTGTATTTAAATATAATCACACCCAAATGTTTCCTTATTTTTCGAAATAAAGAGAAAACACATGAAAGTGAAAGTAGGCTACAACAGAGTTTGTTTTATTTTAAGGGGAGAGAAAGAGACTAAAACCAGAGTCTGTTCCTTCTGTCTTTGCCTTTGTATGTAAGAGTGAGTCATCTAGCGCAAGAGAACAAAGATACAGTAAAAGAGTCAAGTGTGATAGAGATCATAGTGAAAATGTGTCTAATAGTGAATGTGTTCTGAATGAAGTGGTGGTGGAGTCTGTACAAGAAGTTAATGTTGATTGTGAATGTTATGAAAGTGACGAAAACAAGCTGCATGATCAGTCAGTCCAATGTGATATTGGAAAAAGCAGGTTTTCCATTGAAAAATTGCAACGTAATGATAAAATGGTGAAATATTACACTGGTTTTGAAAATTATGACCATTTCATGATATTTTGTCAAGTACTTGGTCCTGCAGCACATGATTTGAATCTAAAAAGCAACTTACTTTCCCCTCAAGACCAGTTCTTTTTAGTTATGATAGAACTGAGACAAGCTAAAGAAGACATTGAGTTGAGTTATTTGTTTCAAGTCAGTGAAAGTACTATTTCAAATATCATTGTTACATGGATCAATTTTATGTACTTCCAACTTAAAGAGATTAACATTTGGCCCTCGAGATCTGTAATTGATGAATATATGCCTGATGACTTCTTTGCAAATTTCCACAAAACTAGAGTGATAATTGATGCCACTGAGGTACCAATAAATAAGCCCCATAAGCTACATTTTCAAAATACAAGAATAAAAATACACTAAAGGTGATGATTGGTTGTACACCACGTGGAACTGTCAGTTATAATTCCGATGCATACTGTGGGGCTACAAGTGACAGACAAATTATTGAACGTACTGACTTACTTAGAGACCAGGACAAATTCCAAGACCATGACAGTATAATAGCTGACAGGGGTATTATGGTCCAGGATTTGTTTGCCCCTTGTAACATTCAGGTCAACACTCCAACAATGTTGAAAGGAAAAAGCCAACTTGAGGCACAAGATGTTGTTAAAGACCGAAGAATCGCATCAAAGCGAATTCATGTTGAAAGAATCATTGGACTGGCCAAGACTTTCAAAATTCTCAAGAAAGAGCTACCAAAGGGCAAAGCCATTTTAGGCTCTAGAATCATTTTTATTTTTTCAATACTGAATTTTAGACCTTGCATCGTTGAAAACTATTCATAATAACGTACTACCATTCAAATGAATATTATTTAATACATGTTCTAGAATAAGAACAATGATTTCAGTTACACTTGCATTATTCAATCTAACATTTACACATTGTACTCAATTAACTGTTATTTATTACATAATTTTGTCTTAAAGCAGCAAGTGGATACATCTTTATAACTATCTCTATACACCTCTCTACCTCTTTACAAACCATTAATAACCTCATAAACATTTCTCTTGGATTATTCCAAATTCCAGGTTGAAAATCTACATTTTGCAATATAGAACCATATTTTCAATAGTAAAAAATGTTATCCATTACAACAGTGCACTATAATGACCATGTTAAGTTTTGATAAACAATCAAAATATTGTGCTGATCTTAACAGATGTAAAAGGCTTTTCTAAAAAGAAAACCTGCAAATATCATCATATTAACCATATAGAAATGAAAAAAAATATGCACGAGTCTTCACAGAAAAAGCTTCAACTGCAGATTTATGACATCAATTTACAATCAGCAAGAAATTTTCTGTAGTGATTTTTATAAAACAACTCTAGCTTTGGTAGCATGCAACCACACCAATAATCTCTGTCAACATTGATTTCTTCCACAAAAATATCAAGAAATGTGTACACATCAAAGAAACACTTCTCTTTTCTACACTCATTAAGCTGCCCTTGCACCTGCATATAATAATTATGATTCTGTTTTAAATGCAATACACCATCATCATCCTCTAGCAAGAATGGGAAAAACTTGTCTGCAACAATCTTACGATCTCTACCCTTATATGGACATTTAATTTCAACAATAGCATTTTCTCCAATAATGCCATCGGGCGAAGCAGCCAAATAATTGTTCTCCGAGTCTATGAAAAGACCACAAGTCTTTACTTTGAAACCCATTTTTTCTTGAAATGTTTGTCTTGCTACAGCTTCATATTGTTGGCCATGTAAGACAGCTGGTGTTTTCAGTTTAAGAGGTTTAAAGATGCTAGAACACAGCTTCAGTCTGTTATGTCGATCAGTAGCTTTGCAAATATCCCCAAACCTGGAAGCTCTCAAACGCCATTCTCTCTCTTGGTGCCAAACATTCGATAGATTCTGTTTCCTAGTTCTGTGTTCGATGCGGGCAATGTCCCTATCTGAAACCTATTCGAAAAATTAAAATTTGTTCATACCAAAGACACACTTCAAGTATATCAAAATTCATTATTTATAAATCAGTTCTTATATTTCAAGAATTTATAATGTAACCTTATAAGAATAGTTCAGTAGCACTTTACATTATCAATATCTTCAACTTTCACCATTGCCAGAAGCTGCCATATGGAGGCATCAGTGTTTTACAAACACATCTTGTTTTTTTTTCCAAAAGACATATAAATCATTACTCTTACAGAAGATTACAATTTACAAAATATTTCATTAATACATTCTGAACTGCATCTATCCAATATTCAGTGAATGGCAGGTCCAAGTATTCATGGTCCAGTACTGCAAAGTTGATAAATGCCTTGGGCTTCATGTACTTGAAAGATAAATCTACCGACGTTAAAGCACAGTAATTGGTTACAATGTTGCTCACATAATCGTTGTATCCAGCAATTCCTCTGTATTTCTGAGGCCTTGGGTCACTAAGATCTGACAAGGCATGTCTTCTGCTTTTATGGGGGAGCCTGTAAAATTCAAAGATTTAAAATAAGTCGGACATTAACCAAAAAAAAAAAAAAAAAAAAAAAAAAAAAAACCATTAGTTTACGTGTAATTTAATTTAACTTCTATTACAATTTGCCAAATATATATTTCAGTATTGTATTCCTGTACAAAGAAATCACATTTCCATCACTTTTAATTTAGTAATATATTGAATAGATAACAGTACTTGTAATCAATATCTGTATTAATTTAAAGCTTTCTTATTTCATGGTTTACTTATAATATACATGTACATGACTTGTAAAATTGTGGATCACATGTATTCATCTTTAGTGTATATTCAACAAAGATTGAACATAAAAACTAAAATTTTGCATGCATGAGAAGAACTACCTAAAACAACTTCTCAAACTGTAGTTTTGTATACCTGTCTGAAGATCACGCAAATTTTATATTTTAAAAGAATTGTGACACAGGTCACAGAATTAAAGTTGTTATATGTTACAGGGCATTAATATCTTAGCTAGCCACCCTTAGCCAATGGTGCTATCAAAAGTTGGGATTGTTTATGTCACCTGATTTCGAATCTTACCACATACACGTACCCACAACTAGCATCATCAACAAAAATAAAGAGCGTTTTTTTAAAAAAAAAAAAAAATAATAATTAAGAAGCAGCTATCGAGCAATGTTTATTTGTTCTTAAGGGTGCAAGTCTGTATCCCCAATATAGATTCCTGATCACATTATGTGCATGGATGACACTATAGCCATTTATATAATGCCACATTATCTTAGGGATCATTGTTTACCCAATTTTTTCATTCCTGAGACTTTTGAGTCAACTCAAGATATATCCCGAACTGAAAATCGTCATATGTACTGAAGCATTTGCTGATTGGTCAAACAATATCAAAAAACTCCAATTGCAACTTGAGAAAAAAAAATCCCAACTCTTAATAACACCATAGGCCAAGGGTTTGTAAGTTGAGTAGCAGACCAGAAACCCTTAGCTAGCGAAGATGGAGCACCATCATCATCAAAATTTAATATATGCTGAAAAGTCGTTTGTAACTTTTGACACTTTTGTATATGAACAAAAACAAATATTCAAAATTTAAATTGTCAAATTTAAAAAAAAAACATGAATAGGAAACACTTTTAAACACAGGCAGCTCAATCTGAAAAGACTTCTTTGGCTTATGAAAAGTCTGGAGATTATCTGTATATCCCCTAGGAATGGCTATAATGCGTGTTTCCCGAAATTTCACCAAGAGCAAAACAACAGCTGCTACATGTTTACAAGTTCCATTAGGGCCCTTCCAAGCAGGGCATTCACAATCTGAATTTTTATTTTCACCCGTTTTTCGGTGAATTCTTACACGATAATTGTAAGACACCTGTTAAATACAGTCAACGACATAATACTTATTACTCAGACAATCTTGATTCACTCTACATTCATACTACACACACATGTACATTGATTTTATTAAAATCTGTTTTTAGTTGTTATTCATTTATTTTGAAACGCTACCTTTTTCTTCATTGCTGCTCTGACAAATCCTGTAAGAAAAAAGTCCTCATGTTGACAGTTAATACTCAGTGCTTCAACTCTCTCTGACTCCAAGAGCAATTTTCTTTTCACAATCGCCTTTGTATTGCCCATCATTTGCCTGTCAACTGCTTGTCTGTATTGAAAATATCCTAAGAATTCCAAAAGAAAATATGAGTTTTACACCTGCACATTGACATATTTATATTTGATATCCTCAAAACTGTTAAATTTCATATGTGGCATACACCAAATTTTTTAACATACTTAATCGATTTTCCCCAGTATTACTGTACATTCGATATGGGCTTCTGATATATGTGGCATTAAGTCATAATGCTCTGATGTAATTTGTTTATACCCAGTAGTGGGCCAGTCTACCTTCCCTTCCACTGGCAGCTCTATTACGGGACCGCTAAAGTTAAAATTTCATTCGTATGCTTCCAACCTACACAGTAATATGAAATTTGTTTAACAGTTATTATTGGCATATTGTCACTGTCAGTACAATCACTGACAATGTAGCACTCGTGTGACTTGACTCTGATAACCCTAATTATTTTAAATATATTACGATTACTTAATTGAAAATCATTTATTTTTTAAACAGTATTAATGTTTTTCTTACCTTTCTATGAGATCTGTTTTTCTTCCCGTAGTTACAGCGCCGCGCAACATCAGTTCTTTTTTTCAATTTCTGTACGGTGTACGGCGTACGCCATGTTGTTTATCTCGAATATCTCAAAGTACAACAGCGCCTCTAGCGGCGCGAGGGGGAGATAAGCTGTTGGCGGACCCTATTGGTGCAATGCATTGATACTAGATCACGAGGATAGTCCTTAACAATAACTCGGCTACAAGTGCATTAATGAAGCAAGGTGAAGGTTTTTCGGATTTGTTAAAACCTTATTTTTTTATGTTTGGGAAATTGCAGCCATTTTCATAATTAAAAAATGTGTTCTGTAGATCGAAATTAGCATTTGGGGAGTACAATGCCATAGCACTTCTTCATTACAATACAGTTACATGTAGTGAGAAAAATTTGCACCATGGTTGGTGGAATTCGGTAAAAGATCGAGTATTTTTTCTAAAGTCGTCTTTGTTCTAACGTTGGGGGAAAAAATCGTTTAGTTCTAAGAAAAGAAATTCCGTTATTTAAAAGAAAGTCTTTGAGTCCCTAATAAATGCAGTAAGCTATGTCTTTCAGTAATATTTGATAAGACATTCGGTACTTTTTAAAAAGTACTTTAAAAAACCATTCCTTACGATGAATTAAGTCCAGGCTTTTTGATTTCATTAACAGCTGCTTTTTCAATAAAAATGGAACTCGTAAATTTACTTACATTGTCATTGGTCAATTGCAAAATTATTTTGTTAAAAAACATTCTGATTGTACATACAAGTTCACTGAAGCTGACATTAAAAAGATGCTTGAGTTTCTGATTGACAATATCTATGTGGTTTTTGGAGATCAGGTCTTCCAACAATCTATTGGAATTTCCATGGGTACCAATTGCGCCCCGTTATTAGCAGACCTTCTTTTGTACTCATATGAAGCAGAATTTGTCCAAAATCTTACACGTTAAAAGAAAAAAACCACTTGCTGTGGCCTTCATCTCGACATTTAGATTTATCGACGACGTATTGTCAATTAACAATGGCTATTTCCATTCTGATGTCGATACGATGTATACCGGTGAGCTTGAGATAAAAGATACCACAGAGTCTGACACTTTTGTTTCATATTTGGATATTTTACTTTAAAAAGATGATAATGGTAATCTAACAACCAAGCTTTATGATAAACGTGATGACTTTAATTTATCAGTCGTCAACTTCCCTTAGTTACGCAGCAATATACCTTCATCACCTGCATACGGGGTATATATCTCTCAGTTGATTCGATACGTAAGAGCATGCTCTATGTATAAATAATTTCTAAAACTAGGTAAATTATTGACAAACTAGTTGATGAATTAAGAATATCATCTGTCTCGTTTAAAGTCATCAATTCGTAAGTTCTATGGTCGATGCAATGACCTTTTCATCAAATACAATTTATCATTGAGTCAAATACTGACTGGCGTTTTTCATACTAATTGTTATGCCATTATTCGCACGCTGAATTGTCGACGGATTTTTCCGTTATTTTCCGATCATGATAAGGAGCACACGGCGGGTGTGACCGGTCGGCAGGGGATGCTCACTCCTCCATGGCTCCTGATCCCAACTCTGGTGTTTGGAGGTCCGTGTTTACTCTGCTCCTATTTTGTATTGTTTAATGGACTTTCGAGCTTGAATACTGTTCGTTATCTCCATACATTTCATTTAAAGTGAGAGAGTATAATATTGTGTTAACTTTTTTAATGTAGAATGATACATGCTTGATAAGGCTGTATAATTTACTTAAGGGACCCTGGATGAAGTATCAAAATAAAGGTCTCGAGATCTAATTAAAAATGTACATTGAGTTCGGTTTCTGTGATTATCTGGACTCTGTAACATTAAGCAGTGTGTTCTCTTTATCAGCTGCAAGCTAATATTTTAAATTAAAGACGCGCGTTTTTATTTTTTTCTTCTTTCTAAGCTAAAATAAGGAATATTATTATGCTTCCTGTCAGTTTGTCTCTATATAATCAGTATCCAACTATTTTCGCATAATGTTCTAGGGATTTATAAAGCGTAAGCATACTATGCCGAAATAGTGCACGGCTTATTTTTCTGAAGAAAATCCCACAGCGCCCATGCCGAGGATCGAACTCACGACCCCGAGATTGTCAGTCCGACGCGCTACCGATTACTCCACAGACGCCGTTATCTCAGTCACATTATTATAATATATATAAACTTAGTTTCAAATAAATATTTCTCACTTGAAGAAATAAAAATAAACAATTTTTTTTAAAAAAGTTTCATGCAATGTTTCCCCCTGCACTCAACTAAAAATCTCTGAAACTATCTGTACACTATACCTAATGCATGAAATAACAAAAAAATCCAACAAAAAAGATTGTGACGTTCAAGTAGTACAACGTAGGGTCATAATAGGGGTGTACTATAATGAATGTAAGATTTGATGAAACATTGAAAATGAAAAAAAAAAATTATCGTTTTAATACAAGAGTCAGCATAATAATTACAATAGTGTTGTACTTTGCATGCACTATGCCTAAATAGTAGTCAGGGTTTGACACAAAGTGACTCGCCTCCGGCACGCGCAGCATGTGTCAAACCTGACTACTATTTAGGCATAGTGCATGCAAAGTACAACACTATTTAATAAACAGCAGCTAAGGCAGATGACCTCTCCGTGTCAACTATTCATTATTATAAGCCTTTTTATTAGTTACATTCATTATTGTAAAATACTGCAAGGTTTCTGCAATTTATGGCATTTGAAAGATTTTTTTTTCGAAGTATACTAACGATATCATATTATATTCATAGAGCAGTTCGCAGCACCGTTAATTCTACATAAAGGAGACGTGGTGTAATTTATACAGGAAACGCTTACTGTGACATCGTACGACAGTATCCATTCTTCATAAAATGTAAAAATCTGTATTCTGTATAACCTTTTTCCTTCCTTCGTATGTATACTTTATATTTTGTTGTGTATAAACCATCTAAAAATAAAGAGGTATTATGTAAGATGTAAAGGAAAACATGTTTACCAAACCTGGAGGACAAGAATCGTGTTAGTGGGGGATTTATCATAACAAATGCATAAAAATGAAAATAGAAAGTCATGGAATTTGTTAATTTCGAGGGAAGTGTATATCAATCTGAGTATTGTTTAGCCGATCACGTAGGATAAAAATAAAAGAAAAATGCTTGACACGAGTGCAGGATTTTTTACTGCTGATAAAAAGCTCCACGTGGTTAACTATTTGTTTGTATATTAAACATTTGTTTATAAGATTCTGGTTTGGTCAAGAATGAAAAGGAAACCAATCAAAAAGGTTTATACGAGTGATCAGAGGTCATGTGACTGTATAAATTTTCTTCAGTGAATAAAATTTAAGTAGGGCTCCGCGTAAAAATCATGCAGGTAGCACAGAAAAGGCGCTACATCGATAATCTTCAAATTCATTAAAACTGAGTTTAAAATATTCATTAGGGCCTAAAATGAATGATCACGAATGGATTTGGATATAGCTAAGGATAGGGTACTCCAGGGGTAATTTTCTATGGGTAGTTTGTAAATAGTGCATATTTCAGAAAATGATTTTTTTAAAACCCAAGAAGATGTATAAAATCTAAACACATAATTACATTGAACATGGAACTTGTAAATTAAATTTACTCTGATATTTTTTGTGCAAATGAAGGATTGAAAAGATACAGGGTGTTAAAAATCTGGAATTGTTAAGATTCTTCGTATGAGTTAATGCGGAAATTTATATAGGTGGCAGTAGTAAACAAAAATGGCGGCCTCCATGGAAAGCTGTACTCTGCTAAGTTATTTTGATGCATCATGTGGTGTTCATTTCAAATATCCGACAAGAACAAATTGGACATAGAACTCGTGTAAATTAAGAGAAAAAAAATCCGTGAAGCGAGAAAGTGTAGCTTGGGAATTACTGTCATCGAGTTGATCAGGGTATCGGCATTTTTTTCCTTACTACTGACATCTGTATGGTCTATGTCGGAAGTTTAGCTTCTAAGGTAATCCCCGCAAAGCAAAAAAATGGCAGAAACACTCGAAAATGATTTTGAAGAAAATAAATGAAATTGCATTGAAAATAACCGTCAAGTTAATCAGGTCCGGCACAATCTCTTGATTTAGCTATATAGCTTTATTTAGATATATAGCTTTATTAAGCTATTCAGAATAGCTTGATTTAGCTATTTTATCACTTTTTTCTTAAATGTGTTATTTTCTCAGCATGCACAAAAAAGCAGCACCTTGGTGCAGTGAAAATATTCAACCTTGAACTCTTCTGAAAATAATGCATGTTAAAATCAGTCATCAAATTGTGTCTCCTTAAGAGACTTTGTACTTGAAGTTCTAAATGTTTGGGGGCTATATAAAGCAATTGATACAGTTACTTCTTCAATGAAATTATAAAGGAGGCCAATTATGGTCAACAAGGTAATTGATTAGTAATAATTCTTTACAATGAGAAGCAATCATACTTACCCATGCCTCAATGCACACAAAGTAGTGTACAATTACCCATACAATGGAAATTCATCTTTTGCTTAAAAGTATTCAAATACTGCAATGCTAGAACTATCTTTGAATTTGCTTGATGTCAAGATAGCCCATAGTACATATATGGATAGTCAAATACCCACAACTTTTTGTCTATTTCTTACAAAATACATTTTTTCTGAAAAACTGCATATAAATAGCTTTAACAAGCTAT